CACACACACACACACACACACACACACACACACACACACACACACACACACACACACACACACACACACATTGACATCTCTCAGTGGTCTCTTCCCTCTGCCTCTCAACCTTGTCTCTTCATGATGACAACGCCATGGACGGAGGGAAATGCAAAGCCACTAGCGCCTTCCAAAGTTCCCTTAGAAGCCAAGCAGAGTACATCATCGCACTCAAAAGAATCAGCCCGTCAGCTTCCTATACCACTCCGTAGGTTTCAAGAGTCCTCCAAAAAATCAAAATGTACTGGCTGCTTCATTACCAACCAAAACCCAACTCCACAGGTAGAAGGGCTTTTTTGGCATCTGGACGAGAGATCGAAAGACAATACACTGATTTGAGGAATTAGGACTTCCTAGACAGGACTGGATAAACGAGATATAGACACTGCAAGGAACCCATAGCCTCTGCACATTGGCACTGAAGGTTAGTCAAATCCTCAGGGCCCAGTGGTTTGGTCAGTAGGGTTTCAGGCAGAATCCATGCACCATAGGTCCGATACATAACAGGAGTGAGCCCGGTGCCAAGTGGCTTAGAAACCAGTGGAGCTCATTGAGTCAAATCCAGACCAGTCAGTCTGCAGCCTAGGGTCCCACGTAGACGAACGAGTACCCCGGCAAAGTCAAGGCCTGGAGCCCCCACCAGCAGGGTAGCGCATCAACAGGGGCCAGTCATTTGGTCAGTAGGGTTTCAGCCACAATCCATGCAACATAGGTCCAATAAGTCAGAGTAGTGAGCCCGGTCCCCGGTAGCATAGGAACCCGAGTCAACGGGGTTTGCGAGCCAAAGGGCTAGGAGCTGAATCGTCACATTGAAAATCACAGATGATGTCACCATCTTTCATTCATTTCCTTTGTGCTTGCATGGAAGCAATGCTGCACTACATACCGACCTCGTGACAAGCAAAGCAGCCAGTTAGACGGAGCAACCGGTAGGTAGTCAAAGGCACTGGGCACTATAGCGTAGATGTACCACAGCCAGGAGCGAGCGAGAGAGAGAGAGAGAGAGAGAGAGAGAGAGAGAGAGAGAGAGAGAGACGTGGAAGCAATGCTGCACTACATAGCGACCGCGTGACAAGCAAAGCAGCCAGTTAGACGGAGCAACCGATAGGTAGTCAAAGGCACTGGGCACTATAGCTTAGATGTACCACAGCCAGGAGAGAGAGAGAGAGAGAGATGTCATTCCGAGATGAGCAAGGGTGTCAGAAAGAGGCCTGAGAGTCAGATTGTAAGAGTTGGATCTTTTGTTATTGATGCTGCCGGCCGTAGCCACCCAGCCAGATGTATATAAACTTGCTTGTATAAGGCTGCGTTCTAGATGACTTGAGTCCTCTTCGATTTCACCTTTGTGTGCTGTAAATTGCGCAACTCAGTTTGAACCTGAGATGCTCGCTGGTATGATGTTTGAAGGTCACGCTCATGTGCAATCAACCAGTTCTGTGGTGGAAGGAGAACATTCCCTTGTCCAAAAGACCTCGCAGCAAAGGAGCTCTCGAGTTTGGGAACAAGTTGGAAGAAGCATACTCTGTTCCCCTGTAATGCCTGTGCTAATCAAATGATCAATGCCATGCCAAGATTTAGGAGCCGATTACCCAAATCTGGATCCTCGCTTTCACCAAATGCATAAAATGAGAATGAATCTTCCGCTAGAACACGGAAAAATGCACGCCATATTTTTCCTCCTTTGTGCATGCAATGAGTAGCGGAGAGAGGCCCCTAGAGGTTTACCCAAACTTTCACGTGCATCGCTCTTCAGCTTGGTTACAAATTTGAAAATGATCAGCGAACCCATCCCCATGTGTCATATCGTCCCACTTGCACACAGCCAAAAGGCGAAGAGGCAAAGAAAAGATGAAGGGAAGAGCCAAATATAACAAACAGGGGGCAACAAGATCCTGGATGACAAGCCCCACATGTAAGCACCGCCCCCAACTTCATAGGCCAAACGACGGAAGAAGACCAACCAGGATATCAAAACACTCTTGCCTGCAAAAAAGAAATCCCAAATACATATCTATATACAGCAGATGGCCTTGTTCATCATCAAGATGTTGGTATTCCTTTTCGTAACCATTCATGCTCTCATATAGGCCGAACAACGAAAAAACCCAGATGACTATATATTATTTTTTAATTTCTTTTAATCCTATTCTTTATCGCAATGTCTGCCCTTATATAGGTGGGTTCAGCAACTGATTTGTTCCCATTTTAACTACAGAGCCGTTTTTTTTTGTTCTTTTTTCTGCTTTCCATCACATGCCTGTTCGAATGCACGATCAGGAATACAATAAAGGTGGGCATGTTGATCATAGCAGACCTGCAGACAGAGCCCTATGTTGACCACGTGCTGTCCGTGACACAAAGCCTGCACAAGCTCTCTCCTATTGCAAATGGAGCTGCTGCTCATTTCGAACAACGAACACATACTGTGGGGAAAACTCCACACATCATCACATTAAAAACTGCTGGACCAGAGCATGCAATGCAACCACCTCTACCACAAGTCTCCTGCAAGGATCTACAAGAAGAGTTGCCACGACCTTTTACAAAACACAGAGAAACACCACCCATCTGCACACTGGACAGGTCAGCATCATTTCAGAAGCTAAGCTAAATAGTATGCCGAATCTGCGGAGATCACATTCAAGGCTGCAAGCTGCCGATCGCAGCGTTACGCCAAAGCCCATCCATTCATAACAGGAAAGCATTGCCAAAATTATCGATTCATTACAGGGGCCTTCCTGTATCCCAATTCAGCGCAACACAACAAATCAATAACCTAACCTTACTCTTGAACAGCGCATGTGTGCCCCTCTCCCATGTCTGTATGTGAAGGCTTCTGAATCCAAGGACAGAGAGAGGTACAGGCAATGGAGAGAGACACAAGAAATGCAACGGCGCATGAATAGCATCTTACTCGCAACATCATAAACAACAACGGCAACTGACGAATCGCGAATGTAACTTGGAATGAGACTGCGGAACCGCTCCTGTCCGGCGGTGTCCCTGCACATTGCCACCCCAAAAAAAGCAAAAGAAATCAGAGCCAAGTGTAACATTAAGGCCACCTACTGACAGAAATGAACCCCTCCACCTACTGACAAAAAGTGACACCACAGAAATATCAAAACCAAACAAAAGATACGTTACACGCAAGCAAAAGATACGTTATTCACAGAAATTAGCACCTCAGAAATTAAAATCAAGACCACCTACTGACAGAAATTAACATAATAAAGGCCACCTACTGACAGAAATTAACATCAAGGCCACCAACTGACAGAAATTAACACCTCAGAAATATCAAAACCAAGTAAAACATACGTTGCTCACTAGGCAAAGATAACATTACTCACAGAAACGAACAGCAGGGCCATCCACTCACAGAAATTAACACCTCAGAAATACAACGACCAAGCAAAAGATACGTTACTCACAGAAACGGCCGAGAACACGACACAGAACAGGCCAAGCCAACCGAGCCCGCACCAAAACCACGCATCACAAATCCTCGACACGAAAGAAGCTCAGAGTAAAATCTTCCAGCAGAACCATTGCCAGCAGGACTACCACCATCTTCCCCCAAATACGTCGTACGTTCATTATTGCTGTTTCTAGAATCAATGTTGCCTCAAATACAGATATAATAACGGTACACTGAATTCGGGTGAAGACGGTAGTCAATATGATTCAATTCATAAGCAGAGAGGCAGCCATAGCTAGATCCGATATCTTCGCAGAAATTCTCTTAAGATTGAAAAACGGATGGGTTTTCAACCACCAGGTCCTCTCAGTCTATTTTACCCAATGCGGAGTTTTGCCTGCTCCTAAGAAATCTGAACAACGATCTGCCTGCTGCTGCCAGCCTTTTCTGCAATAGGCATTCCGCGCACTTCCACAGCCCCATGCTAACCAGGTGGCGGTTTTCAAGAAGCTGGGGCAACAACTGCCGCTTTAAGATTTTCAATACCAAGAATGTCTCCAAAATCTACTCTTTATTTCACTCTCCATCGATTTATACAGTACTTATACTCTTAGCGCCATTGCCGCAATCTATCCTTAGATTCCTTACCCATCGTAATAAGCTACATTGGAGTGCAAGAACGGAGGACCAAAAGAGATGAATGCAGACCCAAAAGGGGCAAGAGTGCAATAAGCCGACGATGGCCTGAGCGAGGAGGTCATAAAGCATAAACGCCCTGTTGCTACTTCGGCGTAACTAGAATTACCAGAAGAAGGCTCTGCAGTGAACTCAATAACAGCAAACTACTAGCCCTCAATTCCCCCGTGGCATGACACAAAATAGGTGCCATCATGCAACTCAAAATCACCCATATATTTAAAAATTAATAATAAGGGAAAATTTGTCTGGCGCCCCCGTAATTTCCATTATTTTGTGTCGCACCCCTCCAACGGCCAACTTACCCTGTCGTGCCCCTGGGGGCTCTGAACTTTCCTGCATGCCCCTGTCAGTAAGGGGCGCAACTTTCTGTGGTGCTCTTACTGGACGGCCAGTCTCATTTCCCTGGTCCCTGTGCAACATGCCCTCATGAGTGGCATACATCTTTCCATCATGCCCTCGCGCCAGAAATTCGGATTTGAAGCACGTGGCGTGGTTTTTGTGGCGCTGCCACAAAAAATGACCGTGTGTGTGTGTGAGACACACACACACACACACACACACACACACACACACACACACACACACACACACACACACACAGAAATGAAGTGGCCGTCATGAGTGCGTGCACACATGTGTGTGTGTGTGTGTGTGTGTGTGTGTGAGAGAGAGAGAGAGAGAGAGAGAGAGAGAGAGAGAGAGAGAGAGAGAGAGAAATGAAGTGGCTGCCATGCACGTAGCCATAGAGGTGCGCTGAAAACCTGCACCCTACCAATAGGGGCATATGGAAAATTTTGGCCGATAGGGGCATATGGAAAATTTAGGCGCTGGTACACACTGGCTATCCGGTAGGGGCATACTGCAAATTTGGAATGGGTACCGGTAGGGGCATAACAAAAATATTTCAGGCCCAGCCGACACCGGGGTTTTATGGGAAATTTGAATCGTGGTCAGAGGGGCACGACAGGGTAAGTGGGCCGTTGGAGGGGCGCAACACAAAATAATGGAAATTACAGGGGTGCCAGACAAATTTTCCCTAAAAATAATAATAATATAAAAAAACACCCATATAAACTATGCTTGAAACTAGCTGCAGGCAGTCAGGTGGTCCCCACACAATAGCAGACAGACCAGTGGATGGGAAGATTTATTTCAAGTGCTGCAAGTGTCTTGTCAGAAATCTCCACAACAACAACGCCACAACTGTGACAAGAGGCAGGCCGGGCAATCACCAAGACGCTGTGAGATAGGGGTTCAAAAAAGCCCCCCGGGGGGGGGGAGGGGAGGAGAAACTTGAGACGACAAAAAAATATACTCTGTTTGGAACCTCATATCAAGTTCAAACACTCACCAGAGCTGCAGCCGGACCGTTCTGTCTTCCAGGTACATGGTTTTCGAAAGGAAGTCTATCCCAATGGTAGCCTGCAGAAGTTGCACAGATGGAACGATAAGAACGAGGGAAAGAGGAGCAGCTGCAAAATCAGCAGATGAAAGGAAGGGACAGGGTGAAACCAGGACATCGCACAGATTTGCGAGAAGGAGAGAGAGAGAGAGACAATTAGTTGAGACAGAGAGGGTAATAACGGCAAAAAGAAACACGAAAAGAAAATGAAAACAGGGGCAGTAGGCGAGAAACGGAACCAGGAGAGGTGGAGGTCATCAGGAATCTAATCTGAGGCTTTTTTAAAAAAAAAAAAAAAAAAAAAGGGCGACGGCCTTGAGATATCATCATTAAACTGACCGGCGCCAGGTAATTCAGAATGATTTTATTCTGGTGATCTGATTGTATCTGGCTTCGAACTTGGGTCTGTATTTCAACAGTTCATGGGTGTACCAACTGAGCTAGGCCCATTGGTAATCTGAGGCTATATTTGACAATGCAATGGAACAGGTATTTTGTGCATCCTGGAATCTTTGTTGCAATCGTTGATGATGCACACGAGGTTCGTCGTTTTCTGCTCTTTCATCCTCTCGATCTCTTCTTCACCTTCCCTTCTTCGCTTTTCGTTTCCCCATGTTCCATGTCCCCACCCGTGCCACCGTTCCTTCCTTTCTCCGTCGCTTGTTGTTCCCCCTAGACCCGACCCTTCCGCAATTTTTAACCTCAGGTAACCTAACGGTCGCCCACATATACTTGCTCCATCCGCGTGCATATATCGAAGTAGCCTCCATCCGCGTGCATTGTCGAAGTAGCCTCCATCCGCGTGCATATATCGAAGCAGCCTACCGTCTTCCCCCGAACATAACGCACCCTGATAATGAATGCATACAAGTTATCTTTCCGGTCCTATACAGCCAAAATGAGCGTGGGTTGTGTTTGGGGGAAGACGGTAGTAGCCTACTTGAACCTCTCTCTCTCTTAGTATGTATGCTATACGCTGTAGGAACCTAAATCTACGTGAGGCGTATGATGCATTGCTAAAACAATGCCAGACAAATATGATTATGATTATCTGGATTAAAACCAAATAAATACCACCAATAGCTGAGATTGCTAGGACTTGGCTAATCTACCACATGGAATTGTTGACTGTAMAAAAAAAAAAAAAAAAAAAAAAAAAAACACCTTCCCGTAGTACTCTTTCCCCTCTTCTCTCTCTTCCTCTCATTTTCTCTCCTGCTCGCCTCTGTTGATCTCAGACGTATCTAACTGCTTTTCCAGTCCATCACATTCTCATGCTCGCTCTCTCCTTCATAAGCAAATTGCCTACCCTCACAAGCAAGTAATGAGAAAGATAGGAGGTGTACAAAAATCCCTAATCAATCGGACATCACCACTCCATATTTGTCTGAACCTGAGACCGAGTACATAAGAAGCACGCTCTCTCCTTCGTACGTAAGAAACACGAAATAACTTAACTTATTTTGTATATACGGGGAACGAGATCGTCCTGTCAGATAGAGTACATCGATCTCTCACTCGGGTCAATTTAACTCTTTTCTTGATATAAGTTGGATAACCTGAGAGCATATGCATAACAGATTTGATTAGGAAGAGCTGCTTACCTTTCGACAGGACGGTATTCCCAGTAGTTTGAGAGAACCAAAGTCCGAAAAAAACGCCACGCCGCACAGTCAGAATGTACCTTCGGGCCTCGCTCTACTACTCACCAAATGTGCAAAATGAGAGTGAATCTTCAGCTAGAACATTGAGTTGCACCGCCATAACTTTTGTCGTTTGTGAATGTGGTGAGTAGTGGAGCGAGGCCCTTAGCCTCTCAAAGTATCGGTGAAGACGGGCACTTTTGCTATTTGCACATCCTCTGACACCTCAACTTCTTGTGGGAGAATTTTCACAATCTGCACCAAAAAAAAAAAAGGTTCCGCCAGACTCTCTCACGGCAATCTTGTTCTTTTTCCATCCGTCTCTCAAATTCCGAGAGAGAGATGAACAATCAACACCATCGGCGTCAGAGCTTGAGACTGCCCAATCAGTTCTTCTACCTCACTTGCCGAAAAACGAAACCCATTGATCGAAGAGGGAGGGAAGAAAACGAAAACGACCAAACTGCTACCCATAGATTTCTTCTCATATTCAGATCAGACCTGGACTTCTGCAATTCTTTACCCATTGTTTGGTTTCTTCCCATAGATTTCTTCTCATATTGAGATCAGATCTGGACTATTGCTTCCTTTCAATATATTGTACTATTCAGATCAGACCTAGATTTTTGCTTCCTTTCTATATATTGTATTGTACTATTCAGATCAGACCTGGATTTATATTTCCTTCGCATATACTTTCTCTCATTTACAGAACAGACCCATAACCAATCCCATTGTCTCGTTACTCTCCATGTATTTTCTAACAGGTAATGCACCCTCTGACCAGATGGAAGCCATAGCAAGCGGACGAGAAGAAGGCAAGGCGAGCATCAGGATCAACAGTGACTGCTCAAGGAGGAGCGGGGGGGGGGGAGGAGGGAGGGGGCACGAGACTTTTCAAACGCATATGAGAGAGACAGGAAACGTCGGAACAAAAACAACAACCTTCGAAGAGATGACGGCCGAAAAAAGGAGTTTGACCAGATAATAAAGAGGCCGAAAAAAGGAGTTTGACCAAATAGAAAAAGAAGACTGAGTTGAGGCCAGTGGAGACGAAGACAGGAGAGCGGAGGGAAGAGTAAGGGACACGTCACGGGGAAGCGAAGAGCGGACGGTGAAGCTCATGGAAGCCAAATGTTTCTGTTTTTCAGAAATCGTAGGTGTTGTCCTTGGCTCTTCGAGGAGAAACAAAGCGGAATTCGAATGGAAGCCAGGAGGGGAGAAGAGCAAGAGCGTTCCTGAAGTGGGAAATGAAGAGAGGAATTCACCGGAGTGAAGATCGGTTAAGTACATAGTGGCGTGCGAGAGACGTGCAAGGCATGCATCGGACGGTTGGGGATAATCAAAAAGGGATAACAAAGGAGGAAGGGACCAAAATGTACTGAAGTTTGTGTAAGGCGCGCAATCGATGATTGGGCATAATCGAAGGGATAACAAGGGATAACTAACGACGAAGAGAATTAACAGGAGAACAAATCTGCAAGCGTAAGACGCGTTCGGGGGGGGGGGGGGTATAATCGTGAAAGGGGGAGCCTGAGGAAAAAATAAAAACAGGCGTCGCCTAAAAGGGGGACACTCGGTTGCCAGAGCTTCTAAAGGAACCAAGTAACACGGGGAAATGGGAGAGAGAGTTTTGTGTGGAGTGAAAAAGGGGCAAGGAAGCATGAAGTGCAGGAGGAACGACGATGCGCGCAGGGCGCACGAGGAGAGGTCACAAGGAGAAGATCAGTGAAGTGAAGTGAACTGAAGTGATCATTCTAGGATGGAGTGAGGTGATGAGTGAAGGAAGGTGATGATGGATTCAGTAAAGGGAGACAGAACAAGGGAGTGGAAGAGAAAAATTCGAAAAATATAATTGCACTTCCCTGATAAGTGTCCGGCAGAGTACAAGGGAGAATGTACAAAAAATGTAGGAGGGAAAAAACGTAAGAGACGTGAGGAGGGAAGGAATGAGAGAGAAAATGAACGTAGGAGGGAATCACATCACATGAGGGGTTAGCAGCCAGAAAAGCACGGAGCAAGGAGGAGGAGTGAGCAAAACGAAAGTAGGAAGCAGGGTCGACAGAGCAGAGAAAAAAGAAGAGCGCGGACGTGAAAGTGAAAGCGTGACGTGTGATGGGGGCAAGTAAAGGGGAAACGTATTACTAATAGAGTAAACGAGAAAACGAGAAGGCAAAGCGGAGTGTCGAGGGTAGTAGAAAGGTGAGCACAGTCAAAAGTGGAGGAGAGCGGATGGCTTGTGAAGCAAGCAGCGCGAAAGCAAGGGGGGAGCTCGAAGAGTTAAGAGTGGGCGGTTGAGGTAGAAGGCTGGGGATAACAACATACCATTCGAAGAAGAGTAGTATAGCACCTACGACAGCGCCTACTGTAGGACAGCAGAGAAACGGGCGTGAAGGCAGAAGAAGCGTAGAGTAGAGTAGAGTAGAGAGACAAAGGAGATGGACGAAAAGTCGGAAGGAGGGTGCGGAAGGTGGAGAGGGTTAAAGAAGCGTGAAGGGGAAGTAGAGGAGAAAGAAAAAAAAGGTGAACGGAGAATTGAGGGGGGATGTAGAGGGTTAAAAAAGGGTAAGGTAAACGGAAATAAACAAAAACTAGGGGGAGGGGTGAAAAAACAGATGATCGTCCTTCGGGACATCCGTTAAAATTGTAACGACACAGAGAAGATTAGCATGGCCCCTGCGCAAGGATGACACGCATAAATCGAGAAATGGTCCAAATTAAAAAAAAAGAAAACAGATGATCGAAGGCGAGAAAGAGGGAGAGAACGGGGAGAGTGGGCGGGAAGTGGGGAGAGCGGCGGGGAAAGTGAGGAGAGCGATGAAGAGAGTAAAGAGGAGAGTGAAGGGGACAATGGCGAGAGCGAGGGAAGACAAAGTGGGCTATATAACGGAGTGCGTCAAAGGAACGAAGCAGAGTAGAAAAAAAAGTAACAAGCAGAGTGTGTAGGAAACAGCCTACGAGTAGTCGGAATGAAAATAGGAAGAGGGGGGCAAGGACTGTAGCCAGGAGAGCTCAAGGCAACGGAGCCAAGGCGTAGGGGAGAGCAGTAGAGCGTCGACTACCGTCTTCCCCCGAACATAACGCACGCTAAAAATAAACGTAAACAAGCTATATTCTCGGCCAGATACAGCCAAAATGAGGGTGCGTTGTGTTGGGGGGAAGACGGTAGAAGTGCGTTTAAGGATAAAAAGTGACTGAAGGCGGGTAGTGCACGAGCACGGAGGGGAGAGGTGGCAGAGGAACGAATTAGAGTAAATAGAAAGGTTTGAAGAGAGAGAGGACAGAAGGAAAGGAAAACTTTCACGACCTCGCTCCCCTACTCACCAAACGTGCAAAATGAAGAATGAATCTTCCGCTAGATCATGCAAACATACGCCGCCATAAATTTTGTCCTTTGTGCATGTGGTGAGTGGTGGAGCGAGGCCCGAAAAAAAGCGCATATATAAAAATGAATCAAGTTTTTCTTGTTTTCCTTGTTTCTTTCGTTTTTCGCTTTGGCGCTCTGATATCATGTGACAATATATACACTCAAGCGGGCAAGAGTTCTTGTACCGGAGTGACCGACGAGGCGGGGAAGAAAGGATGAAGGAGAAAACCTAGGGAGTAGGATTTTGCTCGAAGCGAAGAACATAACCCCCACTGCAGACGTGAGACGCGTTTTTTTCGCATCTAAAAAAAAAAAAAAAAAAAAAGTTATCGCTCTCAGAGAAGAGTCCGAACATGAAAACGAGTTTTCCTTTTCAAGTAGAGAAGAGAAAGAGAAGAAGATAATCAATTTTCCTATTTCCAGTTGCCGAACCACGGACGAGAAAATGCTAAGTGAGTTTATTGGGGTCAAGACCCCCTGGGGAGAGACAGGAAGAGGCAGGAAGGGGTCAAGACCGCCTGGAGAGAGACAAGAAGAGGGGTATGACCGACCCCCTTCAGATGAAAAGGGTCAATTTTTTTTTTACCCTAGATCGTGAAGAACGGCTTGGATTCAACACAAGTAGAATCAATCGCGGTTTTCCTCGATTGGAGGATGGATACTGAAACAGGAAAAGGGAGGTGCACTTTGGGTGGAGGGTTACCTTCAGAGACAAAAATGCCAGGGACATGAGAGCGCCAACAACTTTTGCCCGACCAACAATTTTTGCCCGACGAAACGTCGGCCATACTAATACAGTCTTCGGCCCGCATTTAACCCCCCCCTCTGTTAATGCACTTGCCCGGTTAAACTCCCTGACGTAAATCAAGGCTTGATAAATCCACCAAGGGATGATAAACGTAAATCAAGGGTTGATAAATGGGGAAGGACGATCGCCACTCCCATCACAGCGAGGTTGGTGCCTCCCCAATACAACAATCACTCCTATGCTGGCGTGAGACAGGAGAGTGACGCTCGTAAACCTAAGCGAACGCTATCCATAGCGACCAACTCGCCTCCTCGTCGCACACGGACGTCAGTTCCACGTGCGTGTGCGACGTCCGTGCAGGACGACGGAGTGAGGTCAGTTCCACGTGCGTGTGCGCCGTCCGTGCAGAATGACGGAGTGAGGTCAGTTCCACGTGCGCACACGGACGTCAGTTCCACGTGCGCAGCGCACCAGCTCGACTCGCTCGACTCGCTCGACTCGTCATTGCGTGCCCTACCTATCTCGTAAGACCCGCCATTCCCTTACCCGACCTTGCTATAAGTGCTAAGCACGACCAAGTACGACTAAGTAAGAATGTATGTGCTTAGTACGACTGAGTACGATTTGCTAAGTACGGCCAAATACGACGTGCTTAGTCGTACGGGCAAATACGACGTGCTTAGTCTTACGGCCAAATAGGACGTGCTTAGTACGACTAAGTACAAATACAGAGCGCACCATCAACACGTCAGTGCTTTTTGCATTTGATGGAAGCCATGGCGTGTCTCTCTTTCCACAGCCCAGCCATGGCGATTTATCCGGGACAGGAAAACGTTTTCCAGCATACATAACAGTCCGTCAACCAGATGCATCCGACGTGCTAAGTACGACCGAGTACGACGTGCTTAGTGCGAATAAGTGCGCGACGGGACAAAGAGATCGTCCCTGCGACTTGAGTTTCAGACGGCCTTTCGCCTTCGTTTGACAAATAATATCGCCTCAACGACACGAAGAACGGGATGTACAGCTGGGATGGAAAGCGCGGGAATAGAGAACGATAGAACGATAGAAAGACTTCAAGCCAGGCCTCCGAGTTCCTCCGAGTTCGTCACCGTCAATATACATACACCCATAACAAGAGAGAAAGAGGAGGGCCACCGTCAATAAACACCCATAGCGAGAGAGAAAGGGGAGGAACCAAGGGACAAAGAACAAAGTAATCGCCAGGTCATCAATCAACCGGTGAACAAACTTCTGTTCATATTTTTCTGGAAAGCTCAACCTTGAGAAACCCACTCTTGATAGCATGAGACAGTACGATAGTGGCAAACAATAGAGATCTGCCAAGAAAATACAAGAAATCAAACAATCGAGATCTGCTTAGGCCAGTAGGGGTCAGTAAGTCACCACCAAAACGAAGCTGGTAAGGGTAGGAGGTGCCTAGACGACCCCGGGCGAATCGAGTTAAGCCCCTGAACAAAAGGGGGGATAAGAGGAGATCGAATGATTGATTGAGAGAGAGAGAGAGAGGGGGGGGGGCGGGGGAGATGAAAGTCGACCTTGCTCCTGGGGAAGAGGAAGAGAAAGAAAGGGTATTGACTTTGCGATTAGTCAAGAAGAAGGAATGTACAAGCAAGCAAAATGACAGCAATGACCGCAAAAAATGATGCGCACCCTTCTATCGCCCATTCAAGAATAAGAATGGAAAAAACTCATCTGACTGACACCGTGACACGCAACCCGCCGACTTCAAGGGATAGTCGTCTGATTGCAGAACAGAAAGATCGGAAAGACATACATGAGGGTTAACAGAGGAGGACGAACCAGGCGGGCTTTGCTTAGTTGGTACACCCATGAACTGTTTTGAAATACGAATCAGACCCAAGTTCGAATCCAGATACGAACAGAGGTGGAAAACAAATGGACGAGTAGTAGTCGTAAACAGAGATTAAAATAAAGGGCGAGACAGAAAATGAACTTACAAAGTGAGCGAATCAATCGCGGGCAGTGGAGGGGGGGGGGGGGGGGGGGGGGGGAGGGGGGGGGCGAGGCAATAAAAGGAAAAAAAAAAAAAAAAAAAAGGGGGAAAAAAAAAAAAAAAAAAAAAGGGGGGGGGGGGGGGGGGGGGGGGGGGGGGGGGGGGGGGGGGTTGCACGTGCAATTGTTGCTACGGGGCAAAACCGAGCAATACCTCTTACCTGGTAAGTATTGTCAAATTTGTCATACATGAATCTCGTAATAATACTCGTCTTCCCCACAGATTGATCGCCCAGGAAGACGAGCTTATACTTGGCCAACGGCGCCACAGTGGCCGCGGGGGCTCCTCCTGCCGTCGCCATGCCCCTCCCTTCGTCCTAAACGAAGGAGATCGACGCGCACAGCTGTCGTCAAAGGTCGTTCGTCGTTGCCGTTTGCTTGATGGGGGAGAGAAGTGCCTGGACACAAGACGCGCGCAAGTCAGGGGCGTGATTTTAGGGGAACACGCGCGAAATGAATCTTCTCCGCCCGGGTCCGGGTCGCACATGCACAGTGTAGTTGTAGGAAACTACACTGTGCGACGGGCGGAAGCAGCGAAGCGGCAAACTGGCAAAGTGCAAAGTGGCAAAGCGAAAACGAAAAGACGAAACTTGTCTGTATGTCCAAAAGGGAGACCGCGGCTGTAAAGTGAACCCTTGAAAGACAGTCTCGTGAGTATTGACCGGAGAAGGGGGGGGGGAGGGGAGGGCTCCGCTAAGCGCTGCATTACCGGCGCGCGAGCCTGCCGAGGAGACAATAGTCGTAGCGGCATCTCTCCTTGATAACACAGCGTCAACACTGCGTCGACGGAGTTCGTGTTCACCGTATTCTCGCGGCCTGGGATATCGAGGAGGGTAGTAGCCGTGCCTAAACGCACTTCGCACTTCGGTTGTGTGTTACTTCTTTTTTGTTTTTTGTTTTTTGTTTTGCTGTTGTTCTTTTTGCTATTGCTATATTCTTGTCTCAATCCATCTATGTACTCATCTTTCTCAGCTATCTCATCCTCTCGCTAGTCTATGTATGTGTAGTACGCACCAACCAACCCGCATCTCTCCCCAGCCCACGGGGTAGGTTTGCACCACAGGAGTGGTGCGAGAGCAAGGCTGTACCAGCCCCTCGTGTTACTTGTTTGCCTTTCGGATTCACCGGTTGCCATCGAGTTGGAGTCAAACGCTGCAGCTTCTTGTGCTTTGTACTCGAGAGCAAGGCTGTACCAGCCCCTCGTGTTACTTGCTCGTTGGCCTGTGGCTCAGCGGGTAAGGTACTCCTGCATTGTTGTCAATGCGCATTGTGGTCTGAAGTTGCGGGTTCAAAACTCTGACCTTTGTGCAGAGACACCGGCAGGCTTTTACATAACACAGTCACTTGCATAACCCCTTGAGCTGACACAGGTAAGCTATTACAGACACTGCCTGCCCACCACCCCAAGGGTTTGTCCATGGTGGTGTAAGTGAGGTCTTAGACTATGGTTTTCTTGCGGTTCTTGGCCCATGGTTGTTCTGATAATTGTGCAGTTGTTTCCCTGTCTCATACAGCGCATCAACCAGACTAGTTGTCACTGTAGCTCAATAGGTTTGAGCTGAGGATTGCATGGAAGAGTTGACAGTTCGAAATCGGATCACATTGAACTAATAGATATACAGTGTTGTTGTCTATCCTCCTTGTCCATGGTCACGGGTATCTTAGTCTAACGGAACGGGCTCCAGGTATTCGCCCTGGGTTCAGTTGTGACTTGTGATAAGCGAGGCTCTGTGCCTCACGGCTTCACGTACCCTTAGGATAAAACCCGAAGTAAGCCCCGAAGAATGGTTCCTAGCTGATTAAGGGAAGCGGGTTCCCTTTTTCAAATTTTGAGGATCAAATGCATGCTCTTTCAGGATTGCCCCTGCTCTTCGTCGAATTAGTCCAGCGCGAATGATTAGCGACCGCGCGGGAAAATTCAAGAAACAGTTATGAATTTCAGTTCTCGGCATCTTGAATTTATGCAATCAGAGAGCGCGCGGCCATTCTTGCTCACCATACAAGCTCGCTCCCTACTTTGTGTGCACACGCCAACTCCCTTTCTTGCTTGTTCTTGCCTTTGCATAACCGTCCGTCTTCGTCTAAGTCCCACACCTGATCTCCCTTCCTCGCCTCTCGGCACGATTGATTGGTCAGCAGTTGGGATGGTCAGATCAAGCCGCAAGAACGAACAAACGCGCGCGGCTTAAACGACGACCCCAAGAGAACGAAATCTTTGATTGTCCCGCCTTCTTCTATCTTTCTGGAACCTTCTCTCTTCTTTTGTCCTCCTCATCCACTCCCCTGGCTGGCCATGCTACCCGCTGGTGCCCCGCCGCCTTTCGCGCTATAAATCCTGCAGCCCCTTCCTCTCACTCTCTTTGATATCGCCTGCAATGCTGCTTGAACTATACGTGAAGACCGCAGCACCAGACAGGCTTTTTTTTTTTTTTTTTTTTTTTTTTTTTTGTTTAAGCATCTATGTTGGGGAGTAGAGGACGTGCTGATAAGAGCAGACACTCCCTCTACTCCCCTAGATGGATAGATGGCTCCGTTCCATTAGTGGGGAGCTGCACCTGCTGGAAACCGGGTCCAGCGTCCCTTTACATCATCCATAGTGAACATATACCAAAATTTAAGCTGAAAAGTGGGCCCAACGACCCTTCATATCTGGGAATGCTGGGGAATAGTTATGCCTCTTCACCCTATTCAGGCGCCAGATATGCCATTACATCTAGCAATATTAACACTCCCCATCTGCTTATCGTGAGCTGGGACTGGGATCCACAGATAAAACCCAGACTGGGACACAGGTAATCACTCAAACGCATACCATGAGCCAGGAACTAAGGCCAACTTTGGTGGAGGAAAAGGATCAGGAAACTCAGAAAGGGGGCTGAGGGGAATGGAGGGATCTATGTTACTCTAGTCATTAAAATATAAGTGGTAATTCATTGGGAGCTCACCGTGAGCTATCTCGCACGCTCCATTCCATTCAACCTGCCCAATTTTACCACCTTGTTCCCCTCCAAGCCAGTTTAGATTGAACGTTTTTATGTGTTGTTTGATTTCTTTTTCTGCTGTCAAGGTTTTAAGTTTTTTTTTTAATGTTTCTCATCTCGAGTTAATATCTAGTTGGATTTGTTGTTTGATGGAATCTGTGAACTCAGGCCCATCTAGACGGGCATCTTCCATTTCAAATGTGCACCTGTGAAACCATATGGCATAGAAAAAAGTTATTCTCCCGATCGTGAATAGGTTCGTTGTTAAGCTGTCTTCACATGATGGGGTCCAGGCTTCCAGGAGGAGAGCTTTCTAGTTCCATGGCCATGGTAGGGAGGTTTCAATCTGGTTCCAGATCCTATCCCACCAACGCCATAACCAAACTGTCCCCTGAGCACTGTAAAAATATATGTTCTATTGTTTCCGGAATCAATTTGGACGGGAAGGCAGATTTGCAGAACTTGCACTAGGGAAGGGTTATTCCTCTTTGTTCTAGAGTAGTTTTGTCAATGATCCAGTCATTGGTTGACAAGCATCGGTGAGTGATCTGCCATTGAAGGGATGCCATTTTAGTTGGTTTGGATTTGATGGAATGGAACCATTTGACTGAATGTAATTTTTTTTTGCTCACGTTTAGGTGTCTCATCCATCGCTCTTCTATTCTATCTTTTAAATTTATCTTCGGGCGCAGCATCCTGTATGTGGATTTTACTGACAACGTATGAAGAGCCCGTGTATGGGAACGTCCTGGATATACCTTAGACGCCTAAGACCAACTAACAGGATCTAGTGGGAGATGGGATATAGGAGTATCTGGTTTATAAGTCATCCACCTATCTTTGATCATTAATATCCTAGTCCTGAATAGTCTGTCTTTTTGGATTAGCCCCATGCTTTGATGTGCAGTGGATCTAAGGAACTCATCCTCCTTCAATTCATAAATTGTCATTAACACATCACGATTAGGGCGTAGCTCACTAATTTTTCCTACCACACCTGGCTGATTATGGATGGAGACCCAATCATTAGGAATAAGGGTAGGCCATTTTCTCAAGATCCTAACCCAATCTAAGGGGATTATATCAATTATCTGTTCCAATGCTTCCTTCTGATGGCGTCAGTATCTTAATTTATCATTAAGGGTCGGGAGGTCAATCCAGTCTTGGTCCTCCACACTCCCAATATCTCTGATGCGCGTAACTCCTCTTCTAATTCATCCTTTCCAAGAAGAGTCCGTGCAGTTTAAGGTGCATTCATGATAGTCTCTGATGAGCGCATTGTTGAATAATGTTTGTTGGCATACTTCTTCCCATCTTTCTGGTGCTACTTTACCTGGGATGGGTAGTTTCCTCCACGTTTTGAGCAGGTCAGTCCATAAGGGGTCCCTGAATAGGTCAGTCCTTGCTGCTTGGCGATCAGATAAATCCAAATTTTGGGGTTCTGATGGGGACGCCCTTAAAATCGGCCAGGCGCGATTTTCCAACCATATTAGAGGTTCAACCTCATCTGGGGTGAGAGGGGCGAGGCGTCTGATCTGTTCGCAAGCCAGATTATTCCATGGGGCTTGGGGATTGAATAGTAGGCATTTTATCCATTGAATTGAAAGTGTCTTCGCTTGGGTGGTGGGGTCAATTATACCTAGACCGCCTTTGGATTTAGGTTGAATTAATGATTTTCATGCCACTCTGCTGATAACATTTTTGGATTGATGATTACCTCGCCAAAGATATGCTACCAACTGCGTCTGCAAGATTTTAATGGATAAGTTATCAAGGGCCCAGATAGCGGATTTGTACCAAATAGAGGCGAGGACCACATTGTTAATCGCTAGCGTTCTTCCTATCAATGAGGTGTGTTTATCTTTCCATAATTCGAGTTTTGAGAGTGCATGTTTCAAAATCCCTTCGTTATTGGATGTTGGTTTGCCAAGGGCTGATAGTGAAATCCCGAGAACCATGACTAGCGAATCAAGCGGGAACCATTTGATCGTTGGTCGCTCTGGAGGCCTTACTCCTTGATAGTGCATCCACCAACCAAGGGTTTTGTTTCCCCAGTTAATCCTCATGTCTGATAGTTTACAAAATACGTTCATAATCCGTTGTATCGCCTCTAGGTTTTCATGTGAGGCATCAACCATGAGAGATAGGTCATCAACGAAGCGAGAACATATCGGAATGGCGTCCTCTGGTATGAATGTAACTTGGATGCGCTTGATATCTTTATGGTGGCGAATGTGAGCTGCCAGTGCTTCCATGATGATTACAAAGAGAAGCGGGGCAATGGAATCTCCTTGCCTAATTGATCTTTGTAGCATTATAGGAGGAGCTACATTCCCATTGACCATGACTCTTGTAGACAGGCTCGACGTGCCAAAGTGACGGGCGGAATGACAGAGTGAGGTGGGATTAGCGGCAGACTTGGGTTGAAGCAGTCGGAGGGACTGAGCGGTGGTGGAGATGGAATGTGGCGAGCGACAGGGCCTTGTAGCTATGGTTGGCTGATGTCTTGGTTAGTTGGTGGTTGCGCCGAAGGGAGGCCAACACTGTTGAAATTTTGAATAGTGAGGGACTCGCGCTTTTCTCCATTGTTGCTTTGTCCACGTGTTTTGTGTGCAGCAGACTAAGTGTGGATACTT